TTTTTTTTTTTTTTAAATCATCTCGATAATAACTATTCTAACTTGGGTGAGATTTTATTGTTGCTTTGATTTTCATTTCCCTGATGATTAGTGGTGTTGATCTTTTTTTTTTTTATATATACTTGTTGACGGTTTGTATATCTTCTCTTGAGAAATGTCTATTTAGATCATGTGCCCATTTTTAAACAGGATTATTTGGATTTGGGTGTTTTGTTGCTGAATTGCTTGAATTCCTAATATATTCTGAATATTAATCTTTTGTCAGATAAATAGATTGCAAATATTTTCTCCCATTCTGCAAGTTGACTCGTCACTTTGTTGATTTGATTGCTTCCTTTGCTATGTAGAGGCTTTCTAGTTTGGTATAATGGCATTGTCTAAGTTTTGCTTCTGTTGCCTATGCTCTTGAGGTCTTTTTTAAAAATTATTTATTCATTCATTTATTTTAATTTGACCAGACACACACACACACACACACACACAGAGAGAGAAAGAGAGAGAGAGAAAGTGAGAAAGCAAACCACCAGGTCCAGGACTTAAACCCTGGTCGGCCTTGTGGGAGTGTTCAGCGCTTTAACCACCATGCCACCTGCTGTTTCCCCTTAAGGTCTTATCCAAAAAATCCTGTCCATACCAATGTCCTAAAGTGTTTCCCTTGTTTTCTTCTAGTAGGTTCATAGTTTTGGGTCTTACCCTACATCCTTGATTCATTTCAAGTTGACTTTTTCTATGGGGAAACATAGACGTCGAATTCATCTTAACCATTTTAAGTATGCAGTAGAGCAGTGTTCATTATATTTGCATTTCTGTGCAACAGATCTCTAGAACTTTTTCATCTTACAAATCTGAAACCCTAACCCATTGTACAAAAAATGATTTCCCCCTCCCTCAGCCCCAGAACACAAGTCTACTTTCTGTTTCTCTGAGTTTGATTACTTTAGACAGCTCATGGAAGTGGAACTATACACCATAAATATCTGTCTTTTTGTGACTGAGTCATTTCACTTAGCGTAATGTTCTCAGGGCTCATCTATGTGATAGCATGTGGCAGGGTTTTCGTCTTCTTCTAAGGCAAAATAGTACTTGACCTTATGCTTATACCACATTTTGCCTATCCAGTGGTCCGCTGTTGGTCCTTTGGGTTGCTTCCAACTCTTGACTACTGTCAATAATGCTGCGATGAACGTGTTGGTGCCTCCAGGGTGCTTTGATTCCAGAGGAAGACATCAAGCCCTCCCCAGGCCTAAACATGGCTCTTGACCATAAGAAATGCAGCTGAAGTTGGCAGGGAGGGATATCTGAGCTACTTCTGGTCTAATGTGCACATCTGGAAACCCAGGCAATAGCAGAGTGGGGTAGAAAGTGATCCCAACCACTTGGAGCACAGTGTTCCTTGTCAGAGAAGAAAACAGGACCTTGGGTTAAATGCTGACCAGGCCGAACACTGGGGAATGTGTGACATTTCTTATCCTAATTTTGGTCATTATGAAAAGAAGGACCATTTTCTTTCTCCAGCTTCTCATGGTCATGAATAAACAATAATAAAAAGAAACGATTAATATCAGGAACGAGCTTAGCAGCAGACCTTAGCATGAAGGGGATTTATGTTATTTGAAAAGAGGGTTAAGGGACCAGTAGTTAGCGTAGTGGCTATGTTGCTGGACTCCCATGTAGTCAACCACGGTTTGAGTACCAGACCGGTGACTTAAACTCATGCCGGGCACATGTGCATGCATGCCCAAGAATCCAAGAGGAGAATGGAGAAGGGATTGAGGTGGCCATCCTCCCTGCGGGGTGATTTCTCATTTTCTGTCTCCCTGTCTTTCTCTGTCTGGCGAGAGCACACACCCTATAGCAAACAAAACAAAACAAAACAAAACAAAACAAAACAAAAAAAACAACTCTCAAAAAAAAAAAAAAAAAGAAAAAGAAAAGAGGATTAATTAAATAGAATATATTCAAATTTTAAATATAATAGAAGCAACCAAAATGAAAGCTTGACAACTTCTTTTTGGCATTTTGATTGCTGGGGTATGCGTTTGGATCACAAAGAAACATGGATTTGTCTGGCTGCTGTGGCAAAGACTAATCTCTCAAAAGATACAAAGTCCCCGCCAGGATTCTAACCTGCTTTTCTTTACTCTTAGGATGCTGGCTAAATATATCTGCTAAAAGCTACTCTTTAAAAAAAACTCTTGTTTCATTTGAACACCCAAGAATCTGCACCTAAACTCATATCATGCCTATAGATGACACTTCTAATAAAAATCAGGTCAGATGCCAAAGGCTCGTTAAGACCAAGTTCCACACTTTCTTAGCAACTAGGAACTATTGCCTTCAAAACAGGAAAAGAGGGGCTGGCAGGTGGCATGCTGGTTATGGTGCTGGACTTCCACATGGCCGACTGTGGTTTGAGTCCCAGACCTGGCAGCTTGCTTTCTCTCTTTCTCACTTTCCTTCTCTCTCTCTGCCTTATTGTCTCTCACTCTGTCCCTCTCTAGTCAAATTAAATGAGTAAATAAAGTTAAATTTTAAAAAATAATTCTTTAAAAACAAAAACAGGAAAGGAAAACCACTGAACCTGGAGCCACTGTGACTTCCACTGATTTGTTGAAATCCATTATGGCAGTCCTTAGAGAGGGTGAAAAAGATCATTACAGATGCAATTTTTTGGTACCATTTTACTGGAACTACATAAACTTGCAACATATCAAATGTGGTTATTTTACTGAATAGAAAAGCTAAATAAATAGATAAATAGGCACTGATCTAACCGGCGTGGATGGGGTTCTAGTTCTGGCATGATTACATACTAGCGGGGTGGCTTAGAGCAAATGCCTCCCGTTCTTGAACCTCAGTTTGTCTTTTATGAAATCCAGCTCTTGGACTGGAATAGCTTCATTTTCGCCAGCCCTGACATCCTGTGAATTAATGACATCGCTTGGCCGCTGTGTCCATTCTACTTTTTTATTTGGCATTTATTCATTTGATACATATGTACATATATAAAAGTCTGTACATGGTAAAAATACAAAATAAGTATTTCTTTATAAGTTATGCAATTAAACAGCTACCTTTTTAAAGTTTCAAAACCATAGTACGAAGAGAGAGGAAATCTAGTCATTCCTTTATAGCCATTCGCAATAACCTTGGTATAAAATATCCATACAACACATGTGTACAAAATAGCGCGCACTTCATAAAAGCTGTGCAAAGACAGCGAGATTCCGTTTAAAAAATAGAAGAGGCTGTGGGTCTCTCTCTGTGGGTCTCTCTCTCTCTCCCAGGGCTCACAGGCTTTGCAGCTCAGAGACAACTCTCCCAAATAAAAGGGTACAAAGGTAGAGTGCTTGGTGCATATACTACGGATGTAGGAATAAAAATAAAAAAGCCTTAAAACACGTACAGAAATAGAGACTGATTGTAACCGCCCCCCCCCCCATTGTGAGAACTTGCTTTCCCCCACGGAGCATTTGGAAACTGGAGCAAAGATTCACTATTTCTCTACACACGCCTCAGACCAGAAGGCACAGATCATTTTCCTTTTTGAAATGCTTGCGCTTTTTAAGAGAACTGCTGTGGGAAGGTGGGGAGAACTGCTATGCAGAAGGGGCTTATCAGAATCTGCCAAGGACAATAGGACCTAGGTACCTAAGATAAAGAGTCGGAAAGATGTAAGCAGTCAGGGGTCCTGGGGTTGGCTATGTGCTGGTGTTCCGGCTCCTGACTCAGTTTCCTTCCCCGTATTTCCTGTCCTACACGGTTGTTGCTGGTGGAAACCAGCAGGGGCCTGGCTCACGGGGAAGGCCAGGCTGTGGGGGAGGACAAGCCTCCACGTGCTTCAAGTAGCCTGCAGGACACAAGGCAGATGGAACCCTCCTGGGACAGCTGAGACTGGGACCGCGACCCAAACGTAAGCAGGGAGTGCTGCGTGGAGGGGGTGGGGGCAGGAAATGCCTCTTTGGGGCAACACCAAGTGTTGTGAGCCCTGGACTAGGAGATGGCTCTCTAGTGGGAAGTCGCAGGGACGGCGGGCGGGACAAAGTAAGTGACAGGTAGGGTCCCGCCTCTTGTTTCAAAGCACGTAGGAGAGTACAGAGCGCCCCGGCTTCTAGGACACGGTGATTTCCTCTTCATCCTCGCCCTCGTCGTCCTCCTCGGAGTCCGAGAAGTCCGAAGGTTTCCCCGGGCTGCTCGATTGCACCGGCGACGGGGGCAGTGGCCCTTCCAGCCGCAGGTCGCGCAGGTGCCGAGGCTCACCGGACGCGTGATAGGACAGGCTCTGGTGCGGGCTGCCCGGGCCCTCGTCGTCGTCCTCGTCGTCGTCGTCCCCGGGACCCTTCTGGCCCACGTCGCTGAGGTCGGGATGCGGATTGAGCTTGGTGGGGAGGGTCTGCTCGCGGCAACCCCCGCTAGACAGGAGCTCGCGCTCCTTGGAGTTCCTCCATTTCATGCGCCGGTTCTGGAACCAGATTTTCACCTGTGGCGCCCGGGCGGTCCAGGAGGGGAGACCGGTGGTTAGCGCAGGGGCGCTAGGAGGGGCTCGAGGGAGGCCGCCCAGGGAGCTGGAGGTCTGCATTCCCCTCCCAGCCCTCTCCCTGCTCCCAGAAGCGGGTTCAGGGCCCAGCCCAGGCCCGCGCGGGTGCGGGGCGCTGGGCCTGGACAAGAAGGGAGGGGCCTTGGGACCAGCAGTTAGCGTAATGGCTACGGCGCCGGGCCCCCTGTG